CATAAGAGTGTAATTAACATTTTAAGTGTTGTAAATTTAAATACTGTATGAGTATTAGAAACTGGGGGTGTTGATTTCGAATCTTGCAAACGTCAAAAGCCTAATAAGCTACAGCAACTCAAATTGAACTCAAAATTCACATTTATTTCACAACTAGCCAATGTGTAACCATTCAACAAATCTATTAAATCACTATTATACTACAGTAAACATTTCTTTATTTACTTTATAACTTACAAGACTTTTAATGAGTCACTATCGCACTGTAATACAAATATATGTCTGTCATCAGCTAAAAAAACTTGAAAAATTAATTCAATATTCAAATTGCTATTTGTTATAACTTAATTGGAATACCCAAGCTTGTATTATGTTGACAGGTTGTATGTTTCAGCATTAGGTGCAAGTAGGCTATGGCTTATATGGAAATTAAAAAATAATAATGTGGCTGCTTTTCATCAATTATGATGACAACATCTCAGGTGTACTATTCCTAGATATACAAATAAAAAATGAAATTAGGATTTTTATAATAAAGTCTAAATCAACAAGATTCAGAGATAGATAATTTGTTAATCTCTATAATTTTAGTGCTGCCAGGTTAGAAATTAGTTCCGCTACTTTATTTGGAATCTTTTCTCCAGGCAAACTGATGTTATATGCATGCACTTCCAGGAAGAAATAACAAAATTCAAGGGCTTTTACATAATGTAGGTTAAGGATGTAGTGCAGCTAGAAAAGCCGATCAGCTGCAGATATGATGTTATCCAAACAAGAGATGGCGTGAGTATCCAAAATAACAAAAAATTGCTGGGGATCATCCATCGTCCCCAAGTATAACAGGAATTGCTGCCTCCGCATCCTTCCCTTGGTTTTTAACCTAAAGAAAAAAAAAGAATAAACACAAATCTGAGTTGAAATTGAAGTAGATGTAGATGGTAGTAAATGTTGTTGTCCGGTCATAAAAATGGTTTATCATACAGTATATTAATGTTTTATTCTTTTAAAGTAAACAATAATTTATGATTCTATTTCTACCAGAAACAAAATAGAATCAGTTGAAAAAAAGCTCCAATTTGTCACATGGCAGCAGAGAAGGGTAAACAAATATGTTGGCCTATATGTTATTGTTAAATTTATAATCAATAGGCATGTGTATATATTAATTACTTTTTTCCATTTGACTATAACAAATTAGATGTTTTTCCTTTTGACCAAGGCATTCAAACATAAAAGATGATCATCTGGGTACATTAAAGGTTAAAGGTACACATGTGACACATTTTTACATACCTACTTTCAAACACTTATCTAAATATACAAATCCTTCAAATATAATTGGTTTTTATATTTTGAACATAGGCATGTAATAATGGAAACAAAATTAGTACACTTACGATTTGTGTTCGATAAACAACTTTGTCAAATCCCTTAATGTACATTTATGTTTCCCTGTATCGGACGACAGCAAGTTGAGGAGTACATGGAAAGCATACATTGATTTCTTGTGTGTGAAAAAAAATATATATATATATATAAATATATATACAGTAGGAAAAAGTCACACAGTATTTCTTACAAACTAACATTTGTATAATTATACTGCTACACAACCTGATTGTCTACACAATTTTTCCACTAAGATATTAATCTAGATTTACTGTATTTAAAAAAAAATGTATTAATTTAGATTATGTGTGAAGGCAATCATTTTCTGATGGTTATTTGGTTTTATGTATGAGGCCTTACGAATGGTCGATTACTTTACGGTCATTGAGACTACTTAAAGGAATAAAGTACTGTAATCATCTTTGCTTATGCATTAATTAAATTCTTATATTGCAAAATTCTGGCCATGAGTAATAATAAAAATAATATATTAGATTTATATAGCGCTAGTATGAACTATACATTATTGCACGATGAGTAGGGCAGCAATGTGTG